CTCCGCTGTGGTCAACAAGGCGGCGGAGCGGACTCCGCCCTGCCTGTTGATGTATGCCACTGTGGTGCTGTTGTCGCTCTTGACCAGTACATGTCTCCCCTGAATTAGGGGCATGAAATGCTGGAGGACCAACACTACTGCCCGTAGCTCTAGGAGGTTGCTGTGCCGCGTTTCTGTTAGCGGCCAGCGCCCCCCTATAGCTCTCTTCAGGCAGGTCCCTCCCCATCCTGTTCTGGAGGCATCCGTGTACACTGTGATGTAGGAGGTCACCCGTCCCAGTGGAGACCCCCTCCGGAGGTGATCTGGGGACCCCCAGAACCAGAGGTTGCCCTCCACTGAGGGGGGGATGGTCACCAGGCGCCGTTGGTCTCTTTTGGGATCCAAACGCAGGCTGGAGAACCACCTCTGCAGGCGGCGCATATGTAGCAACCCGAGCGGGACCACAACGTGAGCAGCCACCATGAGACCCAGGGTCTGCATGACAGTTAAAGCTGTCACTGTTGCCCCCTATCGCAGCCCGCGAACCGCCCGAAGCAGGGACGCGCGTCTGCTCTTTGACAGGGTGGCACGGAGCGCACCTGCATCGAGCACCACTCCCAAATACAACGCCTGTTGGTGAGGTATGGGGGTGCTCTTCTTCCAATTGATCGCAAAACCTAACTTGGTCAGGTGTAGGATCAATTGGGATGTGCAAAACATTGCCTGTTCCCTGGACCCAGCCATGACTATGAGGTCGTCTAGGTAAAAGAAAACTCTCATGCCGTGGGCGTGCAGCGGTTGAAGCGCTGTGGCCACACATTTGCTGAATGTGCGTGGGGATAGGGAATAGCCGAACGGCATCCTGATGTACTCGTAGGCTATCCCCTGGAAGGCAAAACGCAGATACTTTCTGTGCTCTGGAGCAATTTCTACATGTACCAGTAGCCCACCTCCACCTTGTTGGTGTCTGAGTGGAAGTGGAGCTTTGTGCCTGTTACTGGTCCATCTGGTCCATCAAGAGTCACCCTCAACTCATCAGTCCATGAAACCTTTGACAGATCTGTCTTCAGATATTTCTTGGCCCAGCCTTGAAGTTTTAACTTGTGTGTCTTGTTCAGTGGTGGTTGGGTTTCAGCCTCCCTTACCTTGGCCATGTCTCTGAACACCTGGTACTTCTGGGCCCTCCAGGTAGGTCACAGTTCTGGAATATGATACTGGAGGATAATGGCTTCCTGGTAACTTCACGTTCAATTCTTCTCAAATCTTTGGCATTTAATTTCATATTTTTCTCAACACGTTTCTTGCAGCCCTGTTGACTATTTGCAACAAAACATGTGATGGTCCTGTGATCACGCCCCAATATCTTAGCAATATCTTAGCAATTTCAAGAGTGCTGCATTCCGCTGAAATACTTTTTACAATTTTTAACTTTTCAGGGTCAGTTAAATCTCTCTTTTGGCTCAATTTACCTGAGGAAAAGAACCTGCCTAATAATTATGCACACCTTGATACACTACATTACACAAATACACATAACATGATATGCTTAAATCCAATACGCATTCAAGTGTATAAAGCTTCGAGTTTGGAAATATGCATAAAAATTACGATATGGTAAAAATACTCACATGCCTAATAATTGTGCAAAGTGTATGTTCAGTTTGTAATTGAACCTAATGTATGTACATGAAAAACCTTTATTCATAAAGTAATAAATGTCCTTTTATTCATATTTTCATGTACTAAATGAAGAAGTGCAGACATAAATATTGACTGTTTCTCAAAGGAACTGTAATATATGTTAGTTATAAAAAGTAAATCAATGTTTTAATATTTAGTAAACGATAACATCTGAATAAAGATCATCTGAAGCAATATTAGTTTTACATGATAAAGTTTACTTTCTGAAGGAGACACATTTTATTGTTCCCATTCATTTCAATGTTGAGTAACACATCTGATTATAAATTCATTTTTTATCCTCATCATGTTTTCTTTGTTCAGTCTGAGGTATTGCAGTTTGTCAGAGATCAGCTGTGCTGCTCTGATCTCAGCTCTGAAGTCCAACCCCTCCCATCTGAGAGATCTGGACTTGAGTCTCAACGATCTGCAGGATTCAGGAGTGAAGCTGCTGAGAGATCTTCTGAAGAGTCCAGACTGCAGACTGAAGACTCTCAGGTCAGTTCACTGACTCTCTGTTACTGCGGGAGATCTGACATGTTTCATTAGTTATTCAACCTGACCCTAGTACATAAATATATTACATCCATACGTTTGTAATTTTTGTTTTATTCATATTTTAATTGTTGGATACTAAATGAAGTACTTAAAGGAACTGTAATAGCTGTTATTTGTAAAAATTAAATCTATGCAGGGCTCAACGCTAACTTGTAAAAGTGGTTGCCAGGCTGGCAACCAGGCATCAGTTTTTGGTTGCCAAAACTGAAAATACGGTTGCCATTTTTAGTCACCTTGTATTTTAAATAATTAAGATACTATACAGTTATACATCAACTTAATAATGAACATGTGACAAAAAAGAATGTTCAAATGCTATACAATAAGTAATTAACACAATTATTTGAAACTTAAGTGGTAGTAAACTTGTCCACCCTCAATTGCTGGTATACAACATACCAGTAGTGCAGCTGTCATGTTCTTCACAGATCCCTCAAAAATGAATTGAGCAAGTCACTAGTTTCTTGGTCATCCATTGTCTCCCTTTCAAATGTGGGTTTTCTGGACCTTTGTGCTGATCCCCACCATAGATTCATTGGCCCTTCAGCATTGAAGTCTTGGATTGGCCAGACTAATACATTTCTAATGTTAAATAAATGAAAACCATTCACAGTTAAGAATTAGATATGAATTATTAATGCTGTAAATTACCTTTAACCTGTTAAGCCCGAGAGACCCCGGTACCGGGGCACTGCCGCAACATCTTGCAGGAAACAGTGTCTGAGGGCATGTTCATTTAATAAACTATGAATGTTTTATATCCATGTAACGGGAAGAAACTCATCTAACTGATCATTTTAATTTTTTTTCAAAAGAAAACCCACAATGCTAACACTGAGCCTCTGAATTAGCAACGAGCGAAAAATGCTAACAATTTACTGCACCGAAAATCACTCACAAAACCTTATTATTTATCTCTTCTCCACATCCATGACATCGATTCACATCGTGAGGTGACACAGAATCGATGGGTACCCACATTATCACTGAATTATACGAATTTGCGACGTTATAAACAAAAACAGACATCAAAACAGGTGACGCTAGGTAGCTAAAAATGCTAACATTTTTACCTTGGCTCTGTAGTCTCTCCAAAGTGGTCTTCAATGGCATTAAAACGATAAAAACGCTGCTGAAGTTAATCCATAGGTTAATCCAATGTGTCTGTGTCCCTTTGAAATGATTTCTGATAATCCATAAGCAATAAAACTGCTTTTCCGTTTCCAGATGTCAGAGCAAGAGATAGGTTCGCTCTGATGCAAAACTGCATGCGCGAAGCCCCCACCTTTTCTTTTCACAATGAGTGTGTGTGGGACTCCCCCTTCGATTCTATTGGCTCTAACGGTCAGAAAGAGGTGTCAACCATCAAAATCGAGCAAGGGGGGCCAGAGATATGGAAAATCCACCCAAATGACCCCAGAAGTGTTTTCTTTTTGCTAAATCTCTCTAAAAAGATCAAATGTCACTTATTTTGCATCAATCTTGATACAGGGTACTTATTATATGTTGTACTTTGGATTCCTAAAGCTTTTAGTCTACCTTACCATCATCCAAGGGTAGTTTTCACTATAAGTACAAAATAATTTTTGGCCGGACACTATAATTTACAGTGTTTTACTATGTAAAATCTGAATTTTCTTTAAAATAAAAAACATCTATATTGATTCTGACTTTTCTACATCCAACTCACAGGTTAGATGACATTTCTCATCATTACTTTGAGAAAAAAGATTATTAATTTAACCCTTTTAGAAGGGAAGATATGGTAATTTGTTCTGGGAATGTCATTTTCGAGCCTGAGACCTGAAAAACAGGCTCAGGGCTTAACAGGTTAATATGTCTAACTATATTTAGAATGTGTTACCTTTTTATAGAAGTGATTATATTTGTATGCCAATATTTTCCTGTGGTAAAGTTTCGTTTTGCACTTTTATTTTGGTAGTAATAAGATCTGGACTCTTATTTTGAAGGAACTTTTACCGGAAGTTAATGGACTCCAAAGACTTTACCCATTTCCTCTTTGCTTTTCGTTCGGGTTCACCTTGCGCTTTATCAGTTGAATCACTTTGAACATTCGTTTGAGATGTTAACGGGTTGACCAAACTTTTTACCCCACAGTCGAACAACTTAATTTGCTTCGCCATTTTTTGTAAAACAAACACACAGCGCACTGTGCACGCAAGTAAACGTGCATCGCTTTCTGGCTCCGTAATCACACCAATGCACGTGCAACTTAAGTATCAGGTTCCGACTGGTCACAACAATAATTAAATATCACTCTGAATACAACAAATAATTAACATTTATCTATTTTGGGGTGTACATTTTGCTGTCCTTATTTCTTTATGTTAAAAACTGGTTGCCACTGATGGCAACCAAAGGCCAAGAAGTGGTTGACATTCTTTCTGAATGGTTGCCAATGGCAACCTGGCAACCGTTACTGTCGAGCCCTGCTATGTTTTTAATATTTAGTAAATGATAACGTCTGAATAAAGGTAATCTAAAGTAATATTAGTTTTACATGATAAAGTTTACTTTCTGAAGGAGAATTGTTTTTTTTGTTCATTAATTTCAATGTTGAGTAACACAACTGAATATAAACTGATTTTAATCCTCATCATGTTTTCTTTATTCAGACTGGAGCGCTGCAGTATGTCAAAGATCAGCTGTTCTGCTCTGGTCTCAGCTCTGAAGTCCAACCCCTCCCATCTGAGAGATCTAGACCTGAGTAACAACGATCTGCAGGATTCAGGAGTGAAGCTGCTGAGAGATCTTCTGGAGAGTCCAGACTGCAGACTGGAGACTCTCAGGTCAGTTCACTGACTCACATGTTCAGTTTATAATTGAACTTAATTTATGTACATTAATAACTTACATCCATAAAGTAGTAAAAGTCGTTTTATTCACATTTTAATTTTTACGTACTAAAGGAAGAACTGCAGACATAAATATTGACTGTTTCTTAAAGGAGAGGTGTCATGGCCATTTCCACTGATCATAATTCCATTGTTGAGGTATACTAAAATAGATTTATACTGTGCATTTTTCCAAACTCACATTGGTTTCTCATACAGCATCTTTGTAAACTACTTGTATTCACTGAATTTCACTCTCTGCCTTTAACGGCTCGTTGTAGCTCCCAAAGCTCCAGCCCCCACCCTCCCTGTGAGCACAGTGTGCTCTGATTGGTCGGGGCGTTGTGAATCGCGCTGAGCTCCGTGGAGGTGTTGTTTCCTTGTTTAGGATACATAGCGAAACACAGCCAAACTCATCCTGAGCACACACAAACTCACATCCGAAGTAAAAACAATAAGTGTGGCTTGATATTGAGTAAGAAAAAGGTTGATAAACGCTGTGAGAATGGGTCTGCAGAGAGAATTTCGCCACGATCCCAACTGTCTGTTATCAGCCTGCAGCCAGGGAGGAGAAATCAGCTGAGCTGCCTGCTCCCTGCACACAGATGTGTGTGTGAGGAAGTCCGTGGATTGGTCAATTTGGACCAATCAGCGGGGGCTTAACGTAACGGCTCCGCGGACGTAACATAACGGCTCCACGGATTGGTCCATTTCGTTCCGGGTACGGCTTGACATCATGCCGTACCCGGAAGAATCAAATGGACAATGACGTAACTCCAACGAAGCGTTTTGGGGAGGTATTTTCTGTGTTAGAGTTTTACTCGCTATAGGGTGTACTTTGAGGGTTTTGACTCTGCACATCGTTTACATGCATAAAAACCTTCATAACACACAAGGGGACGGGTAATAACCGGAAAAGCATGACACCTCTCCTTTAAAGGATCTGTAATAGCTGTTGTTGGAAAAAATTAAGTCTATGTTTTTAATATTTAGTAAACAATAACATCTGAATAAAGGTAATCTGAAGTAATATTTGTTTTACATGATAAAGTTTACTTCCTGAAGGAGACAGATTTGATTGTTCCCATTCATTTAAATGTTGAGTAACATGTCTGATTATAAACAGATTTGTATCCTCATCATGTTTTCTTTATTCAGACTGGAGAGCTGCAGGTTGTCAGAGGTCAGCTGTGCTGCTCTGATCTCAGCTCTGAAGTCCAACCCCTCCCATCTGAGAGATCTGGACCTGAGTGAGAACAATCTGAAGGATTCAGGAGTGAAGCTGCTGAGAGACCTTCTGGAGAGTCCAGACTGCAGACTGGAGACTCTCAGGTCAGTAACGTGTCTCTGCTGGTTCAGCAGTATTGTATTAAACACAGGGAGGTGTTTCTCTCACTGGGGCATCACAACAGATCAGTGATGTTACCGACTGACTGCAGGTCTTTTCATTTCATTCTTCCATATAGAAGGCCAGCCGAAAATGCAAAGCCCCATTTAGTAAGTAATCAACTTTCTAGGGCTGCCCTCAACTACAGATTTGTCTAGTCGACTGATAGTCGTCAATTCAGGCGATTAGTCAACTCACGTTTATGATATATTATGATTATTAATATATTAGTTTTTTTCTCCCAAAATGGTTTCAGTTTCCAAGGCTGATAAAGAACATTATTATAACAGCATGGTACGTTGTGCTTCACATAAAATACAAAATAAAACTGGAATAATGAACCTTTGAAATATAAATTAAATCTTACGGTAGAAAGCGAATGAGAGTCACAGCGCACGGACGCAACGGTATAAACAGCAGAAGCTCCGGTAAGGATACTTAATGTGTGTGAACAAGCAACGAGGACACACACACTGAACATTTAGTTATAGTTTCTATAATTCATATCTAAATATAACAACCAAATAAATACTACAGAGGAAACGGAAACACTGAAAATATGAGCGTCGGCAAAAATCCCTCCGGACATTACGCCCTCATCATGAAATGAAAGCTTGAATTTATCGTGTTCTGAGGTCAGAATGATTATATATTATAGGTCTATACAGTATGTTGATACAAAGCTAGGCTACTGCCTGACTCACTGCTGCTGTTTTCCTCAGAGTCTGAGAAAGGAACACACGTTGTCGGGATAATTATACGGAGGAGACTTTTTCTCTGTGGAGTTTGCATGTCACCTTGTGGGACTCGTCCTTTACTCGCTCAGAAAGATCCACACTTTAAATGTCCTGACCGACAAAATTATCCTAATGACCAGGCTCGGCTCTGAATGAAGTCTGCGGGTTTCCAGCTGACTCGTCAAATCACATGCAGAGAGCGGATGGAGCTTTTTTTTTGTTCAACTAATAGACTAATGATGAAATTAGTCGACGATACTTTTTTAGCCGATTAACGTTTAGTCGACTAATTGGGGGCAGCCCTACAACTTTCCACCAGACAAATGGGATTTTACAGAAGAGAGGAAAAGGTAGTCTATTTTGTATGGGATGTTTCTAGTTTCTAGACTAATGACTGGTTACTTCCTGTCATGCAGCTGAGAGCTGTGGCAGTCAGTCGTAGTGTTTGCAGAGAAGATATGATGGGATGTAAAGCATGAGATCAGGACTCTGAAGCTGACTTACTCAAAGAACAAACACTTATTTTAAACTTGAACTAAAACTTTTTGGTTGTGTTCATCCCTACAGGATCAGAGGAGAGACAATCAGAGCCAAGATCCAGAAGAACTGTGAGTACTGAAACCATATCCTCCATTCATCAATATATTAAACTCTTTAATGGAACATGTCCTCAGAGTAAAACAACATTCTTGTTTTTCTCTCTTCATCATTTTGGCTGTTTCTCTTCATGTTTTTATTATCATCATCATTCTCTCTCACCTTCTCCTCTCAGGTGAACAGGAGGACAGAAAGGTGAGAGGTCGTACCGTGTGAAGTTTATTTATTGAGATTTCCCTATTTCTCTTTCAGGTCCGGGGGGGGTTACCTGTTGACCCGTGTCCGTCTCCACAAGTGTCCGCAGGCATCCCCTAATACTGCGGTTGGGGGGATGACGTTCTGTAATCAAAGCACTGTTGTCTTTGAAACGCTCTCAAAGTCTTTGATGACAAAGTCAGAAAAATGACAAGAAGAAATATTTTGAAACTCTTGGACTTTGTGTTTTTCACCCCAGGTTAATTAATGTCCAATCAAATGTTTCCTTTGATTTCTAAAAGGAGCTCTGCCTGGTGCCATTGAAATGGTGGTATTTGGGTTGATGTGCATGTAGTCTGTATGAAGTGTAATCAGATATAACCTTTAAGATGTGTTGTGATATCTCTAAAAGGAATGATAGCTGTGCAGAGAGTGGATTCAGATACTGTTGACAGGGGTCTATGTGCAGGTGAAGAACTGACCCTGGGTCAGCAGAGTTCCTGCAGTGGACATGCTTTAGATGTCCTGCTGATGTGGAGACACCTCGTACAGGAAAGAGTTTTGATGGTTTCTCTGTTCTCCATTATAAGGTAACTCACTGCAGGCTGCTCTCTCTTTAGGACGGACGATGTTCACATTAAAGATCTGTATATAAATACAATATAAATTATATCTCCTGTACATATCCAGGCTGAGTGGACAGTCTGACTCCGGTCTGACAGTCATGTTGAGAACAGCTCGACTTATACTTAATAAGTCTTAATAACAACTTAATAACCTTCACCCATTGTCCCTGCAAGTGTTTTACCTGCCGACACGCCCACCAAAGGTAATCAATGATTTAGAAGCTGCAGCTGATCTGAGGCCAGTCCCTGCAGCTCCACAGCCAGTGAAGACAGATAAAACTCAACATCACTCATCAGTAGGGATGTAACGATGCATCGTGAACCGGTAAAAAATCGGTACAGATGCGTTAAGATTAAAACCGGTTGAGCTAAAAAATTAATCGTGATGCAATTTTTTTTAACGGCACAGGTTGTGAACTAATTTTGATTTGATTTGATTCGCTGGAACAGCAGTCTGGACATGATTGAACGCTATCTAGAACAACAACTTGCTGTGGCAGTTGCTCTCCTCAGTGCAGACGTCTGTCGAAATGCCCGTGAAATCGACACACTGGATAACATCCGTGATGCCGAGGACCAGGGGTGTAGAGCTGCCGGACCACACCGGAACGTCGCTCGGCACTTCAAACATTGCAGTACCCATAAGGAGCCGTACACATGCAGCAGTTTTTGCGTGGTTGTGTCTTTAGTTTAAAGCCCAGTGGCGATCTGTCATACTGATCATACAATAAGCCATCGAAAATAATATGATACAGTACAAGTACTTATGGGTCTCTGTGTTTCATTCAAGCTCGGCTCTGTGTGAGTGCGCGATTGTTGTTGTTAGCATCTGGTTAGCTAGCTACGCTAACGGATATAAAGAGCTGTTTCTAGAACAAGGTGGAGGAGAGCCCACTCCTGTCAGATAACCACAGCTCAGTGAGGTAAGGGACTCTCTGAGAGTTTAGATAGTTAACTTTAGTGTAAGTTATCTCAGTCTCAAACGGTTTGGTCATCATTTATGTAAACAAGTATTTCCGAGACACACCTTTTTATATGATCATTATAGTTATAACAAAATAAGAGAATAAATGAAAAACAGGTATTTGTTTGTTTGTAGCCTTTATTTAACCAGGTTAAAAATCCCATTGAGATCAACGATCTCTTTTTCAAGGGAGACCTGCAGTATGAAATACTGTAGGACAGTAAACCAAGAATACAGTTTAAAAAGGGAGTGATTTGTAAAATATCCATTAAGAAAAATTAAATCTGTCTACAGTTCTGTTTCATATGGGTGTTGAGAGTTGTATCCATAGATCTAGTCTCTTGATCGAGCAGAGCATACATTTCAAGCTGCACTTTATTTTTATTTATTTGAAGGGGTTTTTTCTTTTGATGGAGTCATTTTGATGTGGGATTTGTTTTCAAAATCCAATTATGTATCTTTTTGTTATTTAAAGGTGGGGTAGTTAAGTTTGAGAAACCGGCTCGAGATACACTTTTTGTTATATTCCATGGAATGCTCTTAACATCCCGATAGCAATGAATATCTTAAGTGCTTTGACAAAAAATCCATAAAAAAAATGCATCTGTGGAAGCCGTAGTACTGTAAAAAGCACGACCAATCATTTTAGCCGGCCCGGCTAAAATAACTGGATGGCCTACCTGCCTGTCAGCCTTCCATCTGTGCACAAACTTATCTCGTGCCCTCATTGGTCATGTGCGCGTTCGTGTGTGTTGGAGGAGGAGCTCTGTAAGGAAGTGGCAGATTTTTTCCGGCTGTGTATTTTCTAATTCTAGCGCACTCGAGCTGGTTTCTCCAAAATTACCTACCCCACCTTTCAGATAAAATACAGTTGCACAGTTTAGTTTCAGTTGCACTTTTGATGAGAACATGTACGTTGTTTTGTACAGTTTATATAAATACAGAAATATTTTTCAGTCATAATTTCTCCGCAGCTCATTCTGTTAAAAACAATAATAAATCGTGAAAAAATCATATCGTGAACTTAAAATCGTGAATCGTATCGAATCGTGAGTTGAGTGTATCGTCAGGCATCAGAGAGGCTTCAAAGGGGTCGAGCACCTGCCCTTTTGCCTCCTCTTAGAGAAGACCCGAGTTTTTCTAAAATCACAACAATTCTGACGTTTTCTCAAAATTCTGACTTTTTCTAAAATCACAAAAATTCTGATGTTTTCTCAAAATTCTGACCTGTTTTAAAAAAGAAAAATCTGACTTTTTCTAATTCACATAGTAAGTGTCAGCTGTTTTTTTTTAAATCACAAAATTCTCACTTTTTCACATCACAAAATTCTCACTTTTTTCCTAAAATCACAAAATTCTCACTTTTTTCCTAAAATATCTAAATTCCCACTTTTCCTTGAATCACAAAATTCTGACTTTTCCCAAAATTCTCACTTTTTCTCAAAATTCAGATTTTTTTTCTCAGAATTCTGACTTTTTTCTCTAAATCTCAGCAGTGTATATAATAATTTGAGATCCTCAGAACCTGGATCTTCACTTTTCAGAGCGTTCCCTGTAACCCATGCATCGTCTGTGATATTCCAGTATCGACAGTCAGGAAATGCAACATGTCTCCAGTGTAATTTGCACCTTACTGTACTGCTTTTATTTTCTAAGTGTTTCTGTTTTTAATAAATGGAGATTATTCAACTGTGTGGAAGAGTTGTATTCATACAGCATTATGTGTCCATCAGCAGAAGAGGACTTTTTAAAGTAGAGACACTACATACTGATATACAGCTGAACATCAGCAGGAGAGGACTCTTTAAAGTAGAGACACTAAATACTGATATACCAACCCAGTCTCACGGCATTTCGTGTTATAGTCACGACATTTAATCTATTGATTCGTGTTCACCAACACGATTTTCCCCTTTTTTCGTGTCACACAGAACGATTTTAAAAGCAATGTATTTCTATTGGTAGTATGTTTCGTGCCTGCACCACGTCTTTTTGTCCGGTCGGGTCTTGGAAGACCGGAAGCTGCGCGGTTAATAAAAACAAGTTCTTACTCAATATCAAGCCACGATTATTGTTTTTATTTTAAATCGTATAATGTCGGACTGTTTTTGCCGTCCATGAGGAAAAGAAATGGGGCTCAGAATACTGAAATATGTATTTTTTAAATCTTTTTTTCCTTCTAATTTGTTATTATTTTCTAAATAACAGTGTGTTATTTACTCAACAATAACACACAATTATCCTTGTTTCTATTTATTTGTTTAATTCTATAATATCGGGCTTTTTTGCCGTCCGTCAGGAACTGAATTTCAAAATAAAGTCACCGGAAACAGACGTAGGCAATACACACCCACTGAACTGATTACCCAAGATCCTCAGCTATGGTTGAAGCTCGTGATTGGATGTTTTAGCCGCAAAGCACGTTGGGATATGGTGTTTATGCGATGTGAAATCCGAAAACATTAATAAATAAAAAAGAAAATAATACTTTATTCCGAGTGTGCTTGCTTCTCTCTTTGAAAGTCATCACATAACGGCATTGTAATACACGGTTCGGCTGCATTAAATATTACACATCTGCCGTAGTTATTTATTTATAGAGCTCTGATTAGAAGACCTTTGGACAAACTGGAAGAACTGCCACCGAAACTGAATACGTGACGTGGATCATAAATATATCAGCAATTAAACAACATCTTCAATTTCTCTTCACACAATACGTCTCCTTGCAGTATCAATACTATGTTAAGCCCTGGAGACCCCCCACAGGGGGGCCCGCCAACGTTTCTTTTCGAGACTGTGTCTCAGGGCTTCTTAACATTTATGAAACTATTAATGTGTAGCACCAGATTAACGGGAAGAATCTCAGCTAACTTAAGATATGAACCATTTTTACCAAAACAAAACACAAGTCTCATAAGAAGCGTCTAAATGACCCCTGAGCGAAAAAATGCAAACTGACTTTGGCACAGAACTCAAGATAAAGATACCCTTATTACTTATCGTAACTGCACATACAATATATCCGATTAAAGCTCAGACTCCACAGATTATATAGGTATAGTATCATCACTGAGCGATCCGAACTCGCGACAGGGGAAGCAAACACAGACATCACAACACAAACCTTTACGGAGCGGGAGATTTTACGGGAGATCGTCTCACCGTAGCTGTCAATCTGATCAAAAGACGTGTTCAATGGCATTAAAACAAGAAAAAACGCGGCTGAATCGGTTGATCCATAGGTTAATAATGTATCTGTGGCTTTGAAAAAATTATTTATAATCCATAATTCCATTTTTATGTAAAAATCGGAGAAAAAAAGTTAGCTGCTAATGGTAGCCACCAGAGTGTATGCAGCTTCCGGTTTTGGCCACGCGTCACTCTCACTCCTTATTTGTTAATGTGTTGGGGTGTGTAGAACTTTCCCTTGATTCCATTGGCTCTAGCGGTTATAAAGAGATTTCATTCGTCAAAATCGACCAAGGGGGGCCAGAGATATGGAAAATCCACCCAAATGACCCCAGAAGTGTTTTTTGTGTGCTAAATCTCTCTAAAAAAGGTCAAATTTCACTTGTTTTGCATCAATCTTGATACAGGGTACTTATTATATGTTGTACTTTGGATTCCTAAAGTTTTTAGTCTACTAACCCATCATCCAAGGGTAGTTTTCACTATAAGTAAAAAAGAATTTTTGGACGGACACTATAATTTACAGTTTTTTACTATGTTCAATCTGAATTTTCATTAAAATAAAAAACATCTATATTGATTCTCACAGTGAGAGTGACGCATAGCCAAAACCGGAAGCTGCATACACTCTGGTGGCTACCATTAGCAGCTAACTTTTATTCTCCGATTTTTACATAAAAATGGAATTATAAATAATTTTTTCAAAGCGACAGACACATTATTAACCTATGGATTAACCGATTCAGCCGCGTTTTTTCTCGTTTTAATGCCATTGAATACGTCTTTTGATCAGATTGACAGCTACGGTGAGACGATCTCCCGTAAAAGCTCCGTAAAGGGAAGGGAAGATATGGTCATGTGTTCTGGGAATGTCATTTTCGAGCCTGAGACCTGAAAAACAGGCTCAGGGTGGAACAGTTAAGGGAAAACCCTAAATGTTTGAGCACCCTCTGTGAAACGTCAAGCTACCCCACAGCACCCCCAAAAGAAAATCTCTGGCGCCGCCACTGATGCGTGTGTGAGCGCATCAGTGTGCGCTTATGTTTAGGGCGATGGGAATATTTGCACCGGGGCCAATCACAACCTTGTTACGCCACTGCGTCTCTCCATGCTTCCCTGGTGGGAGGGACTAAGACGCAAGGAAAATACGCAAGGGTGGAAGTTAAGAGAAGTGAGATGCAGCTACTGCAGTGTTTCCCCTAGGTTTACTGCCTTGGCAGGGTGCTGATCGGGTACCCCCCCCGCCAAGACAATGGTAGGGGAAACACTAACTGAGTGGCTGTCATTGTTTTGGGATGACGTGATTGTTTTGAGGCGTGTGGCACTAGTTGGCGCAGGACCATCTGCTAAAGCTCCAATCTATCACCCAATCATGATACTCGCTGTCCATTGTGAGATTGGACCTAAACCAATCACGACACGAGTTCACAATGGACGGAGCCAATCACGTCACGGCATCACAATGGACAGAACCACTCACGGCACAGCTTCTCCCCGAACCCGCCCCCCTCACGCTTTTGTATGAATGGGCATGTTGTAATTAGTAACTACACTTCTGTGAGCAGTGGTACATTAGTCATACAGCATATATACTGTATACAGAGGTATAGAGGTGGGAAGTAACTAAGAACATTTACTCAAGTACTGTACTTAAAGGTAGGG